ATGCCTACCACACACACACAAATTCTGATCAAATCCTGAATTCACACCAACACCCGGTGAAATGGAATTTGTCCCTAATCTAGGTAGTTATGCTTTTGTACACTATCAAAGTTTGTAATTTTATTAAACAAAAACAGACCAAAGAAGACACTTCTCATTTCTTTTTTAACAAAATTATACCATTACTACGTAATATTTTATAAATACATCCCTAATTTAAGTAATTTACCAGAGATCAAATAAGTCTGTGAAATCTATTGTGCAGCTGAACATCTCATCTTCCCTAAGTCAACTCACATCTGTCTCAGTTATAATTACTGTATTAAATTCAGACACAGGTGTCTAACACTTAAATTACCTATAAAAATTTACAAGGATCAGATGTTATTCATGCTTGCAAAATAAGGGCATAAATTTATTCTTGAAATCATACTAATTCAGTGTTATTTTAAGATGCTGTACCAAATATGGTATTACCATTTCTCCCTGGTTGTACATGACTTAAAGCAAGTTGCTATAAACTCAGATTAGCCAAGTACATCTGTATTAATATCCGTCGTATCTTCTCTGTTCATTTCAAAGACAAATTTTGACCACAGACTCTAAAACTGTTAGGAATCTGCTAAATAAGGGATGATGGCTGACATTTAAAGTCTTGTTAGGTCAGGTCTAATCCAGTTTTTCCATCTCTGTCTTTCCATGTCATTTTTCCACTACTAACTACTTCCACCTCCACTCATAGCCTTTTTTCCCTTATTTTTTTTTCATTTTTTTCCCCCTCTTTCTTTTAACATTAAGAGTCAATTCATAAACCAAAGGAAGCAGTAAGTAATTCACTAATCATCACCAGGCCTAGTAGCCTCTGATCAGAGGACTAATTTGCTGAAAAGAAGGCCCCTTTCTTCCAGCCTCCTTCCTAGAGTTCAAAACAGCACACAATCAGAAGGCTGAGGGGTGCCCTGATGGCGGCCTACACCTTCCTCACAGGGGGCAGTGGAGAGGGAGGTGCTGATCTCCTCTCTCTGGTGACCAGCGATGGGATGTGAGGAAAGGGAATGAAGCTGTGTCAGGGGAAGTTCAGGTTGGACATTAGGAAAAGGCTCTTCACTGAGAGGGTGGTCGGTCACTGGAACGGGCTCCCCAGGGAAGTGGGCACGGCACCAAGCCTGGCAGAGTTCAGGGAGTATCTGCACAGCGCTCGGAGCCCCGTGGTTTAGTTTCAGGTGGTCCTGCCAGGAGCAGGGAGTTGGACTTGATGATCCTGATGGGTTCCTGCCAATTCAAGATATTCTGTGATTCTACAAACATATACAGTTCACTTGAACCCAACAGAATTTCTGTCTTGGCTACTTTCTCAAAGAATTAGTATGAGTTCATTGTCACCACACTTAGGTGCCATAGTTCAAGAAGATTTGAACCACTTGCACAACTTCAACGTTCTCGAAGCTGCTAATAATAAGTGTATCAATCATTGCTGTGCAAAGCTGCTTTCTCTAGACAATTCTGTATTTTTAATTAAAGCTAAAAACATTTTGCTACTTTGGATAATACTAATTATACAGAGGAACAACACACTTGTGTTTAAATATTGTTTCTTCAACTTTCAGAAATAGAAGATGCCACAGAATTTTAAAGCAAGGCAGATTCTGTATATCCAAGACATTAGTTGTTTTAATACGTTCAAAGTTTTCAGGTATTCAGAGATGTCAGGCTAGCCCAGTTTCACAGTTATATATATCAGGACAGTTAGTAAGTGTTGATGAAATACCCCAGGACAAAAATAATTCCCAAGTGTTCCATAGTTACAACCACTTTGTTCTCTAGCAGCATACAAATTTATACACACAGATCTCAGGACAGAAAGAGTATGTATATGGTTTGGAAGGTAAGAATCAACAGAGTCTACCTGTAGCAATCTACAGAATCTACTTTACATTCGCACCATATATACATACATGCACACACACACAGAGATATATTTACATATAAACCCAAAATAACAGGGGAACAGCAGTGGCAATGCCATATTCTTGGCTCTGGCCAACAAAATCATCACACCTTTCCCTCTTCCATCAACCGCAACTGTTTACACACCACAACACTTTTCCTGTTGTGCTTCTACCAATTTAGGAACAGAGCCTGTCACCAAACATCCAACACCCTACACATTCTCTTATGAGTAACAATAGCCTTAACAACAGGTAGTGCCAGGCACTTAAATATCACAGATCCCTTCACCTGAGATCATTTTACCATACTATATATTCTCTAAATTGGAGTGAAATGTTTTTTTGCTTCAACAGAATTTATGTTAAGTTTCACCCAGAAAGAGTGTTTCCTCTTAAACATGGAAGATTTTCAGAAAAATAATGGATGCAACATTATCTTTGTGTGAAGCTCTGAGAATCTGAATTTTAAGGTCTCCCAGCCCTGAAAAGAATGGTGAAAAGTAGCAAACCCCAAACCAGGCCATTCTCTTTCAAGTATCTGGCAACAACTTTATCTAAACCCGTTCTAAGCAAAACAAAAATATAATGCAACTTTAGGTCAGTATTCTCTCAAATAACCAGACAACTAGTCTTTCACCAGTCTTCAGACCAAAGCACTTTGCAAGGTGTGGGAAGAAGGCTAGCACACTAACTCCACAAACTACAAAATGCAGCTTAGGAGTTTGGTGCCGGAGGGATTGCAGCTGGAGTAAGAGATGGACACGGGCTTGTTCAGGGGCCACTCAGGCCAGGAGCGAGGCAGAGCCCTGGGGGATACGAGGAGGCAGCACCCCACCCTGGCTGAGCCCAGCCACTGTTCCAGGCTCTGCTGTCCCTCAGGTGTCTGCCCTGAGGTCCTGCCACCACCATTCCCTGCAAATCAACTCCCAATGGGGAGTACGCACTGTATCAGACAAGAAGAACACTGGAAATTCAGTACAGATGTCTTCTGCTCCCTCATACGTTTTATGGCAAAACCTGGCTGAGGGGAAATAAATTTTAAAAATCCACTGAAAATCTTTCAGATCCTATTCCTCAGAGAAGTGGCCATCACCCACTTTTTTTAACATTTGTAGCAGCAGCTGTTTTACCAGCTTGGTATTAACAGAAACACACTCTTCCATCTCAGCCACTGATGAAAAAGAAGGTTTCACTGTATATTTAAAGAAAGAGTAACAATTTATGGGGAAAAAAAAAAAAGTCATTGCTTAGACATTTGGCTTCCAAAACAGATACAGCTAAAGTAAGCTGCAGCAGTGCCTGAAGCACAGGAACTAAAAAAAGATACAACTTCCTTGATCAAATGAGTCAGAACACAACAACCTTTGGTTTTGGTTTGGTTTGTGTTTTTTCATTTTTTTTACAAGAGACATCTTGAAATCTGGATGACATCTCCTTCACTATTAAGGGCTGATCCACCTGCCCGCTTGAGTAGTTACAAAGAGAGTAACTAGGCAAACAACACACAAAACCACAGCTGGGTATTGTAAGAGAAGGAAGGGCAGGACCAAACAAGCAAAGGATCTGAAGAAGGGAACTCACCAACGCACAGTGATTCTTCAGTCCCAAAACTGACAATATGAGAATTGCTGTATTTCACTTAAAACATTAAAGCACCATCTCCTCTACTCTCAGGTATGATACGGTTAACTACCATAGTAATTTCAGTATTGTTAACACAGCAGCTGTTCCTTAGATGAAAAATAGTATCTGGCTATGGACTATACAGGAATAAATGACAATACCTATCCAACCGAAGCATTGAGAGATTTCTTCTAGAAATCAAACCACTTCTGGAAGCAAGCACAATTTTGCCTTTTAGATTTTACTTTTTTGTTGTATTTGATCTGTTTGGCAACTCCTTCATAAGACATAAACACACGCAACAGCAAGAACATCTGTGGAAGTAGACAGCTTTTCACTACCTAAAGTACCACAGTAAACAGCATGTTTTTCCTTTTTTCTGTTTTTTTTTGGGGTTTGGTTTTTTTTTTTTTTTTTGCAGGGGAAGAGGTGGGGATGTTTAAGTACTTTGGTGGGACACAGACACTAGCAGAATGAACACTATATGGCTTGAAAAGGTAGAATGTCTTTAGTCAATTATTCTTTCACAATAGCCAGGCTAACAAAATCCCGAATATTGTGTGAGCTCATGACACATTAGTCCAAAGGACACAGAGGTATTAGCTTCCTCCAGGCAGGTAGAGAGATGGAGAAAGCTAGAGAAGCAGTATAGTGAAATACAGCATTTTTCGAACTATACAACATAAAATATTTGATATTTTACTGTGGGGTAGTAGCAAGATTTTGTTAAAAATAAAACTTACTGGTTTTCCCCTCTTATCACGAAAGCTGCTTAGCACTTCCGAAGTTCATGGAGTGTGCTTTTTAAAGTTGGGACAAAAAATTCGAGGTCAAGTCTCATTCCTCTAACCAAAGGTACATGGTTTCAAGATCATTTAATTTCTGAGTTGCATCTCTATGTGCTAAGTAATCCAATACTAAAATAGAAGTTGAAAAACACCAACAAGGATGTACTTGATGATGAAAAATATGGCTTTGGTGTTAAAAATTCTCATTGCCTTTCAGCATTCATTTCAGTTCGCTTATGGGCAAGAGCTATTTCGCATGAGTCTGGGGAGCGTCGTTTGATAGGGGCAAGTCAGAGACATCCCAAGAACTCACTCTGACACGGATCTGCAGAAACTATAAATGTCCGTTACAAAAGAACGTTAAAGTGCAGATAAAGCTGAAGTCCCTGCCTTCACAAGTCTTGCCGCAGCAGGCCCAGCTGCCGTTTCACCGCCTGCCCGCCCAGCCCGAGGCAGTACTGGGGAGGCCCGAGGCGCCCCGGTCGGTCTCCCCGCTGCCGGGGCCGGCAGGTCAGCCAATGCCCACCGAGCCCCACCGCCGCTGCGGTGGGAGCCGGAGGCCGAGCTGCAGCGCCGCCACGTAGCCATTCCGGCTCCCCACAACCGCCGGCCCCTCAGCGCTGCTGCGCCTGCGCGCCTCTACCCGCCGCGGCGCCGGCGGCCGGCCCGCCGCCAGAGCCGCCCCCATGGCCGCCTCCAGCCGCGGCGGCGTTGCGTGTAACGGGGCGCGGTGACGGGCGGCGGCAGCGATGGCGGAGGCCGCCGAGGCGTGGGCTGCGGTGTCCGCCCTGCGGCCGCGTCTGGCGGCGCTGGGCCGGCGTCTGGCGGCGCCCGGGGGAGCGGGCGGCGACGGTGAGGGGCCGCGGGCGGGCGGGCGGTAGCGGGGCTGGGCCCGGCGGTCCCACTCTGCCCTCTGCTGCCGCCTCCCGCAGCGCCGCGGGAGCGGGCCGAGGGGAGCGGAACCCTCGCTCCAGGGCAGCGGCAGAGCGCTCCGCTTCTCCCTCATCCAAGGAGGCGGCCCAGGCCGCCGTCTGGAGACTTTTCTGCCGAGCAGGGCGGCTGAGGCCTCAGATGCGTAGCGGCGCGTTAGCAAGCTCTGCCTTTGGTACATAATTCGTCTGTGAATGAAGTATGTGGAATTGATTTTGAAACGTCAGATCGTAACCATGAATGCCCTTGATTTATTCGTGAGAGGTGTAAGCTAAAAGGACAACCTGCCTGTTTAAATGCTGTATTATTCAGCTGCTCTTGTAGATCCTGCAACGATGGATAAAACCGTAAGAAGTGAAAAGGGAGAATAAGCAAGGCTGAGTGGTTTCTCAGTGCTAAGGAAGTGTTGTGTTCTTCTTTCAGATGTCTTCTTAGCAAAGGGCTCTGCTACTCTCGACAAATTGAAGGACCTCTGTAACAAAGGAAAAGAATGTCCTTCCATGCTTTTGCAGCTCTATACACAGGTAGTATATTTAAATAATTAAAATCTCGAGAAAATCTGTGTAGAGCATGAGAGAGGGTTGGGTGTGGGAAAGAGCGTACAGCAGAAAGGAATCTGTTAATTGGTGTGTGCCATGGACACCCATGAAGTGCAGGGCTGCTTTTGTCTGGATTAGAAGGTAACATTCAATAATAATTGTGCTGGTATTGTAAGGCCAAAGAGATTTGAGTTTATGTTCAATGTCAACAATACTACAATACTTGCAGCTTTTGTAAACTAAATAATAAAAATTACCTTAAAACTGTAATGTTTTATAGACTGTAACAACTTTGTATGTTACGTTTGATTATTTTGCTGGTAGCATTTTTACATTGTCTATCTTCTTGTTTTCATAGGCTGTCTTAGATATTACATACTTTGAGGAAAACCAGCTTGTGGATGAAGATTTTCCAGAAGAATCTTCATTGCAAAAAGTTAAAGAACTTATTAGTATTCTTTCAGAACCAGAAGACCTAGTGCAGGAATGCAACATACATGAAGAAGTAGGTACTGACATTATTCAGACTGAAAATGTATTATTTAATTACTTAAAAGTAAAAAATCTGAAACAAGATAGTAGTATTTGTATTTTGATGGGCAGAATTTAATGTATTTTGAAAATTTTTCAAGTCTTATTTGTATTTAAATAGTGATTCCTGAAAATATTTTTTCAAATAACTTGTTGCATGCCCAGAATTTTTCTTGCTAACATTTCATAATTCCATGTGCTTTTGGCAGTTTGAACTCAAAGTATTAGGCTTGTGTCTGTGAATGTTTCTGATAAGTACAGCCTTTAAAGTTTGAGACTTAGCGTAACACTGTTTACATGTGTATATGAGAAGTTCAGATGGTTTACTTTTGGGTTAGCCAGTGTGTTGGATTTTATTTCAGCCCATCAGCATCCTCGGTGCAGAATTACTAGAATGCCTTTACTGGAGAAGAGGCGCCTTGCTTTACATGTATTGTCATACAGCAAAAGAAAGGAATGAATGGCTACGAGAAAGCATTACCATATTTAGAAAGGTAAAGAAGACTGAAAAGTTCCATGAGCATCTGAATACAGTTTTAAAGTTTGATTCTTTGCTTTTAAAATATAGCTTGGGGCTTTTTTTTCCTTTTAAATCGGGTTTGGGGAAGTATTCATGGATATCATTAAATTAATCAGAATTTACATAAATTTTTTTTTTTTTTAAACTGTACTCAGTGTCTTCATGATGGAGTCCATTACCTGATGAAGATGATTAGCTTCAGATACCCTCTTCAGCTAAATGAAGATGTCTCACTTCAAGATAAGGACACAGCTAGATTACTCAGTGAAGGTAAAAGAAAAAAACAAACCCTCCAAAAACCCTACAACCCGCTTCTTTTAAAAGCTGTTCCACTTTATTAAATTATTTATTGCATATTTTTGTTGTTTGACTTCATTTTATTCAAAAACTGTCACTTTTTAGAACAAAAAAAAATAATAGATGAGACATAAGCTGTCAGCAGTGCTCTTCACACACACCCCCCCCAATCTTCTTTTTGAGTCATGGATTTTAGGAGGTGGGAGTGCTCATTTTCTCTTACATTTTTGAGTGCACTGGAGCAAAGTGAACCGAAGCAATGGATGTCTCAATCACAGCATGTGTGTTTTACAGCCATATAATTGTCAATTTACAAATGTTGACAGCACAAATATGACTGCAAAGGGTGCATGATATTCCTGTGTTGGTCTTTCTGTTTAGAGCTAGAACACAGATGTAAACACAGATTTACTGACTTTGCACAGGTAGAAGGTACATGCAGAATTGGTTAGATATGGCAAACTTACTCTTTCTGTCTCCACTTTATGTAAGAAGTCCCATGACTGTAGTACGTTTACGTGAGGATCTGAGGCTGCATCAGTGTGATGCAGCAGGAGGGGATTTTTATAAGGTAGAACAGCCGATGCTGGGGACACAATATCCACATTCTGCACACTCAGAACTAGCTCTACTCTGGCTGTGAGGGGATGGAGCACCATCTTGTTTAATTCCATCTGAAAATTACATTGTTCCAGTTCGGCTCAACAATGCAAAGCCAAGTTCAGTAACTGATTTGTAGATTTATTTAGCAGGATTTTTTTTTCAGTGACCATGAACACGTATGTGTCTTTTTATTGAAGTACTTAAGTTGCTCCTGGTTAACGTGAATTAAGGTGATGCTCAAACAGCATCTTCTTTCAGGTTTAAATTATGGGAGGCACAGGAATATTCTAAAATAGTATGCATAATCATGCCTGTGCCTAATGGATTGTAAAGAAATACTGAAATTCTCTAAGATAAATAGGCAAACACAATTATCAGAATAATGTTTATATGGAAATTTTAAAGATTTTAGCATTACAGAGGTGGAAAGTGGATAGAGTAATGAACAAGGGCTTGATCCAGGTTGTCTTCTGGGCAGTGTCAGTCATCTCATGGTTAAAATTTGGGGGTTTATATATTATATTGAATTTATGAAATAATATTATACCGCCTTTTTGGAATTTTTTTCCAGTGTTAATGAAAAAAAAAAGTTAACAAGCTGTGTACTTGCTTATAACAGAACAATAAAGTACCTGATCCTAATTATTTTTGCAGGTATATTTAGCGACACTCACTTACTGGCAATGATGTACAGTGGAGAAATGTGCTACTGGGGATTGCAGCATGGTGGAGAAGGAAAGCAGGAAAGCCTCGAGACAGTAGATTGCATCTCTAACAGTGACCTGAGCTGCAGATCACAGAGCATGTTGCTGGATTTCAGAGAAACCGGCAGAAACATGTTAATGAAGTATGTGGCTGTATGTGAGGGACCTTTAAAAGGCCAAGGGTGGAACACAGCAACTGCGAAACAAATGTTGTGTTACTTCGTGAAATGCCAGAGCTAAAGCAGGCTGCTCTGGCTGTGCTGGAAGAAACCTTGTGTCCCAAGAGCACCCTTGGGGAGGTGGTCTGTGCGTCGGTCTCTGACCGTTCTTCTAATCAAAATGTATACTTTTATTGCATTAAAAACATGCCTTCAAAGAACTCATGGAATACGGGTCCAAAGTCTAATCAAGTATTTCGGGGAAGTGGGGGGGGAATTACAAAAAAAAAATGTGATGAACTGTCCTGTTTCTCCGCCGGCCGGCGCCGGCGCGTTGGGTGCGAGGCGCGGCGGCGGCGCTCGGCGCCATGGCGGCCGGCGGCGTGGAGGAGCGGGGCGGCCTGGAGGCTGTCGTGCGGGGTAGCTTTCGCCTCCTCCGGGAGCGTTGGGCGCGGCGGATCCGCGACCGCGGCGGCACCGCGGGTCCCCCGCCTCCAGCGCTGCCGGAGGAGGCGGAGGAGGTGAGCGCCTTGCAGGCGCTGCCGGTGAGTGGGGGCCCGGTCGCGGGGAACGGGGTAGTGCCGGGGAGGGGGGCGGAGGGAGAGTGGGAAGCTCGTCATCCCGCCTCTTGCATCCTCACTGCTTAATTCCCGAGTCGTTAAACCGCTGCTCTTGACGGCTTTCAGATCGACGTGCAACTGAACATCATGTCCTTCCTCTCGCCCCAAGATTTGTGCCATTTGGGAAGCACGAGTTGCTATTGGAGGGCGGCTGTGCAAGATCCGTTGTTGTGGAGGTATTTTCTCCTGAGGGATCTCCCCTTTTGGACATCCGTTGATTGGAAATCGCTCCCAGATGTGGAGATTTTTAATAAAGCCTTTTCGGAAGTCAGCGATAATGCGCTGTACGATTACAAGGCAGTGTAAGTATCTTCTCTTACGCGACTTACAGCCGCTACAGCAGTAATATTCAGCCCACAGGCATTTTTCATAATCTACACCAGTAATCCTGTGCTGTAAGCTGCTGCTTACGTTTTGATGTGTCTCAAATCCATTGTTTATTTTGGAAATACAGTTTCCTACTGTTTGGTAGTTTGGTCAGCTCTTTTATGTTTAGAATTGAACAAGAATGTAAATAAAGCCAAAGCTAACATAAAAAAAATGAAAGCTTTTTGTGATCTACATGTCTATAGTACCACATAAATACAGTCATCTTGGAAGCTGTGTGTAGTGTTGATAAAAATGTGTTCTTTGCTCTCAGTACAATTACAAATAATTTCTTTAATAAAAGTACTACATCTTCAAACTATGAAAAATTGAATGAATCTTTGTTTTTTTATCTCACCTGGAAGTTGTTTTTTTTGAATGTGCAGAGAATAACGAGTGGTATTGCTTTAGCTCTGGTGGTCAAAGGCCATAAGACAAAGACTAATACAGTTGAAAAACATAGCAACACTCTTAATGTGTTTAGATGACTGAGAAGAACTGTTAAGCAGATTATTCTGTGGTTTTGTTTGTTTTTTTTTTTAATTTCTTTAAATTCCCTTAATTAATTTGCAGTATTTTTTTTTTTTAATTGGCAGTAAAATTCTCCAAAGGTGGTTTCATGAAACTGTTGCTTCATTAAGTGCACTAACCTCTGCAATCTCTGTGCCTTCCATCCCCACTTTACAGATGGGAAAGATGTACCCAGAATTTGAAGTGCAAAATACCTGCTGATTTTGAACATTGGATTTAAGTCTCTTTGGGTCTGAATACTTCATAGCACTAGCTATTTAAAATCACCTGTCGCCAATTTCCATTGTGTCTGTGAGCACTTAATGGTTTTTCTGGTCTGAACTGAAGCATCTTGTTTCAGGTGTAGAGGAGCACACATTTAATATATCCTTGAAGTGATTTGTCCAGCAGCATCCTACCATGGCCTCAGAAGCAAAAACTGAAGCTGCTTCTCCGAGATGCCTTGTTACTTCTATGACTGCTACTTCTTTCCCTTGGTTCCCAAAGTCTTTTCATGCCTTCTAGCTTCTGCATCAAATTGGCACATAAGCTTGCAGACAACACCAGTCTCCATTCACAACATATATTCTCTGTGGCTACATGGGAGATGGTCCTTTCCAGGACCTATTTCATAGTTAATAAACATAGCATCCATCTAATTAAGGTTTGAAAAGCACTCAAGTCTCCTATTTTTTTGTACTGTATGTGCCTCATCAGCTTTGATGTTATTTTACTGGTATTGTGTGTTCAGCAAGCATGGGGGAATTTGTAATTTTAGTTTACTTTGTTTTTTGAAGTGAACTAAAAGATCCGTACATAGAATTGTACTAAGGACCGGAAAGTCAGTATCTGGACTTCGAAAAGACCGATGCCTTTACCTGCTCTGTACTGGTGCTTGAAATCGTCAATTTGGAACTTTGTAATTTTTGACCCATGCTTGAGTTGTACCGGTAACAAAGCATGAGAAGTATGGGATCTAAATTTATGTTATTTGATTAATACTTCTTTTGTATTTTGTGTTTAATTTCTAGTTGCATCTATTTTACACAGATATAAAAAAAGCTGTCCTCAGAGTAGAAGAAGTTTGAAATCAAGCCGTCCCCGGTATGGGACTGTGACTTCCTTTTTGCAATCGCTGGTCACTCAAGCAGAGCCTCGCTTTGCTATGTTTGGGCCAGGTTTGGAAGAGCTGGACAACTCTTTAGTGCAAAAGATGATGACATGCCCGGAAATTCTGCTAGTAGCTGGCCTACCCCAAAGACAAATTCATGGTAATGCTGGTTTTGGTTTTGTTTGTTTGTTTGTTTTTTGTTGTTTTGTTTTGCTTTTTTTTTGTTTGTTTGTTGTTTATTCTTTAGTAGACAGATACAGCACAAATACATCGGGGGAAAATGAGAAAAGGGATGCTTTTTTCTCCCCTTGAAACTCAATAGCATAATAGTAAAAAAACCCACATATATTTTCTTTCTCTGTATTTATACAGAAGGATAAATCCAATGAACATTTGGGATAAAATTATAGCTGCAGTGAATTTATGACTAAATTTGCACCATGTCAAAGGGATCGTTTTGCTCCTTGTACTTCCATTTTGATCCTAAATTCCACGTCACACCTGGTGTTATAATGGATAAATGCAGACAGGACTTCCTTTAGATACTGCTTGCAATAAGTGGCTAAAAAACACACCTGTGTTTTTATGCAGGAACTCAAGACTGATCATTTATATGACTCAGTCTGGTGGTGTCAAGTGGTGTAAATTTCATCTAGAAGAGTTAGAGGAGCAGGTGAAGGATTTTTTTTCAATGTTTAAAAACACTATAACATTTATTTCAGCACAGCGGAATTGGAATAATTACATTTTATTTATAGAAAGTGTGAAAATATGATTTCTTAGCATTGCTGTCTTTTTTTCTCTCATGTCCTTTTCAATGCAGCTTGTTGTAAACAGACTAGAGCCTTTGCTATGCCAGTTTCAGCTAATAAATGCAGGTCTAGGTCCTCTCCAACTTAGATTTCTAGGTTCAAGTCTAAGTATCAGAAATATTGCTAATGCCTCTTTGTTTTCTTTTAATACTGTTGAATTTATTTCAATTAAATCGTGTGATCAGTTAGAGCATATGTAAAATTTCATCGTGAAAGAGTAAATCTGCTACCCCAAACAGCAACACCTAGGCTTGTATATATCCATTTTATAGCACCACTGGAATTTTCAGCCTATCACTTACTTGTATTCAGTAACCATATAGTTATAATCTCATATACTCATTTTTTCCATGTAGGAATTGGATCAGGAGTCAGTTTTCAGTTTAATAACAATCAAAAATTCAATATTCTGACATTGTATTCAACCACCAGGTAAGACTCGTTCTCCACCCCAAAAAAAAAGTACAGTTTCTTGGTTATTTCATACTTTTCCTCATGCTTTTGTCATGTAATTTTGTGTGCATTCACATGCATGGATATCCCTTTTAAATTGAAGCTTCAATGCAGATCTTCACTTTTTCTTTCTCAAACTGCTAAATTTTCACATGGAAGTAACAAAACGTTTCCAAATGTTATACATAGGAAATGTGTATGACTGATACATAACAGGTCTTTCTATCCCTCTTGATACCTTAATTGATTCTCTTTTGAAATACCATACAAACTCATCCTGGGGTGTATTTTCATATACATTGTGCAGATTGCTAGCCATCTGTATATGTACACTAGAAAAGAAGGGGATGTGGGAGGGGACAGAGAGAAATTAAACACTTCTTCTGGCTCAGGCCATTCTACTGTCCCTTTCCTGTGCTGCCTAGACTCTAAAAATTGAGTTTTTGCATTATCGATTAACCTGACTACTGAAATATTGAAATATCTTTCAGTGTGGAAAGGAGGAGAGCAAGGGCAGAGCAAGTTGTTGCTGTGAATAAGATGTTCTACCAAGAGAACAGCATAGTAGGGAATCAGCAAGCTGTGCACTACAATGTAATAGCTCAAGTGAAAAAGGTGTGCGAAGTAGTTGATGGATTCATTTATGTTGCTAATGCAGAAGCTCATAAAAGTAAGGGGTTTCTCTTTGTTCATATTTTGTGAATGATTGGGCTGTCATAAAAGACTAGAAACAATATGCAATACATCAAAATCCATGATTCTTTCAAATTCTGCCTCATTAGAGCCTTTTCTTCATGGCTTATCCACTTGAAGAGGTCCCCTGTCCTAAACACTCTCCCTCATCTCCCCTTGAGGGGTTATGGCCCCATTTTTTGCTTATGGCAGGTAGTGATATGATTGCTATTGAAGCTACATGTGGGAAATTATCTAGATTAAAAGAAAAACCACCCTGGACACGGGTAGGAGAAGGCTGAAATGCATTTATGATGGTGTAATAGCCTGGAGAAAGAATCTTCACCAGGAAAACTGCAGTAAAAGATGCAGTTAGGCCAAATCAGGATAGTCTTATCAGGGGATAATGCTAATACCTATTATGATAGTAGTCTTCACATTCATCAACTTTAAATTAAGGGAAAGGGCTGGCTCAGAAAAGAGGATAAAAAAGGTGTGAAGTGATATGCTAGAGAGAAAAGTATGGTCAGTAGAGAAGGGCTGCTCACGATGGTGTGAGTATTTCTTAATGGCTTGTTGCAGTTTTGATCTCTGTGAGGAACTTGTAAAACGCTGTGATGTTAAGGACTGGAATAGGCTGCCTGTAGTATCTACAGAGATTTTAAAATAAAATCTAAGTGTGACATGAATGCAGATGATCCAGCCTTGTCAAAAGCAGAACTAGATAATTTGGCCATGTCCCTTTCATGTCCAAGCCCTCTATTTCCTCACCTCTGAAATCTTAAGTATTTGAAAAGTTGAAAAAAAAAATTCTTTGGATTTGCTTATGTTTAATACTAATATATTAAAAATTGTTTCTTAGAACACGATCGTCAAGAGGAACTGGCTCGTATTTTGGCAATGATTGATCCAGCTCTAGGGCCTCCGAATAGACCTCTGCTAGTTTTGTCCTGTGTCTCTCACTCTGCTGTGAAAAGAATTCCGTGTGTTTACATGGCACATCACTTGCAACTAAATCTGCTACATCAGCCCTGGATGGTATTTGCTTTTAAACCTTTATTTTCTATTTTTCTGTGGCTTAAATTTAATTTAAGTGTATGGTAGTTCCTGAACTGTAGTTACCTAAGCAAGTGTGCAGCTTTCAACACTAGTACACAAGCTTTCCACTTACGTGGAGATTTTAGTTGCTCTGCTCCTCTAACATGAAGAAGAACACAAGGGAGCTAAGTGGCTTGCCCGGGAACACACAAGAAACTTCAGAATGTCAGGAAGGACAAAATGCTGGTCTTGAAGGGAGTAAGGAGGCTTCAGTTAATTTAAATCTGAACTTCCTGAGTCACAACCCGCAGTCTTGGATGCAAGGTAGATTTTTCTGCTGTTTTCAGGAGACTGTTAATTGTTACTCATTTGTCATGGATTCAGTTTTTGACAAATTAGTTTCTTACCTGGCACGTGAGGGCCCGAACCTGTTCTTTTATGCTTTTCAAGCACAGTATATATCAGTATGGCTCAGTCATACATTATTTTTGGTGTATAGCTGAAGAATAATAATCAGAAAAAACAAAAATCTCAATTTAAGATAATTCCTCTGTTTTCATAAAGAAAATGTTTACAAGCTTTTTAAAAAACATACCATTTATAATAGCCACTTTACAACATGTTACAAAATCAGAGAATTATTAATATGCATTGAATTCTAAAGCTAGCAGCATTTTTGCTTTAAGAATTAAAAGAAGAATTTTCAAGTAGATTGTCATCCACGAAGTAAGTATAATGTTCCAGAATACCTGATGCAATGGTGGAAATAAAATTCACCTTGATACTAAGAATGCAAGGCTTTCCTATTGGATCTTATGGTTCATTTTTCAAAGAGTAGTGTTTCCTTTGTACCTTACTCTTAAGAAACCTATTTTGTCTAAGAGACCTTTAAAACAGTGGTAAGAATTTAGATTTGATGTGAATATTTCTGACTTTAAAGATAGACATGGAGTGATGCTAAAATGCTCTGACACCCTGTTACCTGTTATCTCTAATACATTAACTTACTTTTACAGGTGCAGAACACTGTAGCTGCAACTTTAGCTGGATTGCTAAATGGAATTGAATGGCTCCTGGAAGAAGCAAATTGTAAAAATGCACAGTAATGGAACTGTGCATTGTTTTACTGTATAGAGACTTCGGTGCTTTGCAGTTAGAGGAAATAAGAATCTTGTCCTGACAAAGCACTGTCAGAAGGGAGATGTAAAAGGCAAATCTGCTTATATTTCACTGCACATACTTTAATGATTAACATTCTTCCAACTATAGTCCTGAGTTAGAAGTATGAGTAGGATTGCCTAGATTCCAGCAGCTGATGAAGTGATTGGGGGGGGGCAATGTGGGTGTTTTGTTTTTTTTTTCTTTCAAGCTGGGACCTTTAGAGTGCAATCTTCTCTCACTAAATCTTATAATCTAATCTCTTCTGTAAATATACCTAACACTAGCTTAGTTTATCAGCACAGCCCTATGGCAGGCAACACACATTCATATGTATACATTTATAAGTATATTCAGTGGAGATGTTGACAGTGATGGTTCCCAACCAAAGATGATGTACTGCATGTTAAACAGTAGTAAGTTGACAGAAAGTAAGTCTTTCAAAAGGGTAATTTCCTCTGTATTTATTTCAGAAACAATGCCTAGACAAGAAATAACACCTGCAGGAGAATTGTTGGCCCAGAAGCAAACAAACTGCTGTGTATGAATTGGTTATTTGTTGTTGTGATCTTATTTATTAATCAACCACAAAAGATTCAGCATCTCTGCTTTCTGTTGCAGTGAAATTATTAGCTTGAACTGGACATACCTCTGATGTCACGAATAAATGTCAAATCATTAGTACTTTGGGATATTTATCAAATACATAGAACCTAGCGGTTACTCAAATAGTTGTGGCCATTTGCAGATGTGAAATGTACTTGGCTTGAAATTTTCTACACAGTTACAAATATTTTTATAAAAAGGGAAACATTTTAGAGCTGGAATTGCATTTTTCATATTGATGTCATTTGGATAGTCTTAGTCTTCCACTTTTTAAATGTTTTTTTAATTACTGGATGAATGATCAGCAATTTCCCTTAGATTTCTGGCCTGTGCACGTATTTGTTTTGTTCTGCTTGTTTTGTTTTGTTTTTTTCCTCTCTCTCCATGGAAATGCAATAGTCTAACTATTTTTCTCTTGGTACCTATATAAATTACTACATGGTGCACATCAGCTGTAACTGCCCCTCATTCTGGCATATGTGTGTGATGCTTAACACAGCTGTGTCAGAAACATTCTATTTGAGAAGTTTTTTATTTTTTAACGAACTAGGACAGGCACAGGAAGTGCCTTTTTTTCATCTTTACACACAACTCAGCTTTCTAGATGTTTTTATATGTCTTCTAATCAGGATGTGAGAGTTTCAAGGGAAAATCCCTGGAAGCTATACTATTGTAATTCTGTATTTGTTTTTTTTTTTTTTAGTGTTTTTATTTTTTGTTTTTTAATAGGGTATGTGTGCTTTGCCCTTTAAAATAGAGAAGACACAAAAGATTTGTGAGTATTTTGGGGGGAAGTTCCACACTTTGTGACTGGGTTTATGTGACTTTATTGCTAGTCATAATAATTCTGTAATGATCCTTGTGTAGATGGTTAAATGCAGCAACCTGTTGCTATGTTAGTTATTACAAATATTTTTTTTAAGCAAGATCCTCATTCTGCTTTCTTTATAAGGAATAAATTATTCTTTAAAGAGTGGTATTTACAATCTTTCTCTGTGTGTTAAGCCTGCCTGCATGTGTGCACACATGTGTGCATGCACACAAAATGTCTGCAGTCATGTTGTCCTAACTAATAAATTATCATCTCATCATTAGTCATTAATGAACAATGTTATTGTATGCTACCTCTTTAATTAACATATTAGTTCACTGTCATTTTAAAAGGTTAATATAATATAGGGGATAGAATTTTTCTTAACCTAGAGAACATCAGTTATATTAACATAATTCTTTATGTTATTGTATCTTTAAGAATTACAAGTTTTGGGGGTGCAGCCTAGGAAACAAATAGTGGGAAGCAGAAGTCTGTGCAGTCACAGAGCTCCAGCATCATAGGAATTGCAGAGGTGGTGGTGAGGTAGCTTTCATGAGTGAGTACTGTCGTGGATCAATACTGGCAAGGAAGATGAGCATGTGCGCTGTGCAAAGGAGCAGTTGAGATCCACAGAGGTATGCTATGGATGAGGCAACCAGCCTGTTGAGAATTCATATGCCAAATAGCTGCAGAGGTGCACTGCTGATTGCATTTAGTATTACCTTTAGATTTCACCTAAAACACTTCCTACTATTTGAATGCCTGAGTCTGCTGAGCTTGTCAGTTAAGCATAAGAAGCGTGATAAGTCAATTAAACTTGGGACTTCAATTGTTGCAAATTCAAAATTGGTTGGAAATGGAACATGAGAACATCATTAGAATGTATTTTTAAACTTTTGCATATATGAAACCAATTTTAAAAATTATTTGGTTTTGTACTTATCACAGTAAATGCAACTGGGATGAGTTTGTGAGAAGTAAAACTATGCAGCTCTGGATCCCAGAAGTCTTGCTCTCCTTGGGATAAAAGATTGCAACAGTGCCTGAAAGTAAATCACTTTCCGGCCCACTGGGGCAGGATGTTTATCTAAACAGTGGTCAAAAACTAAAATGTTAAAGTGACAATACATGGGATTCAGAAGAAAACTCGGTTACTGAGGCTCCGGAGGAGCTTACCCATAGAGAAAGTGGCTGTGCGGGAGCTCATTTTCAAGTCTTTGAAACTTAGAATAACAGACACGCCAGCTGCAAGGCAGTAGGTGAGGGTACCTGCCGAGCTCGCAGGAGAAGGCGGCAGCGTCCTGGCAGCGTCCCTGGGCCTGGCGGGGGTCTGGCAGTTCCTCCTGAGCGGCAGCCCGGGGCGCGCACGGGGGATGCAGCCGGGAGTGGCCGTGGGGACCCTTGGCTTCCCCGCGGCCCCAGCGCGGGGATGCGGCTCGCACTGGGTCCCACTGGATGGCACTGCTGATCCACACCAGGCACTGGCGCTGCCCGGGTGGCATGCCTACACCCTTTGCCAAAATTACTTCAAGTAAGCAATTTTACTCCCTTCTCAGAGATGGCAGCAAGCAGATGCAGTTACAGAACAGCTTACAGAAAAGAAAATCAACGTGTTTTTCAAAGGCTTATAGGCAGGGATACGCTGGCTCTTCTTCTGATCTGGTGGGTATCAATATGGATTTGTATGGTAGGACAAGTATTGCATCTAAGGAGAGTATCTGTAGTCACTGTCAGGAGGACGTATTGAAATTTGCTGGCGTCATTGCAAGGTGATTGATGCTTTAGCCCATGAATTAGTTTGTCTTTTGTGACATTTAGTTTGTCTTTTGAGACATTTTTAGCACTAGTCATTCTGAATAAATTATTTTCCTTATGTACAAGAGGAAAGAAACAAAATTCCTTGGCCAATTACAGAAGGTGACATTATAGCTAGAACTTGTGCTTAAATCTCAGGCCAGATGTTCCCTTCCAACCCAAACCATTCTTTGATTCTCTCATCTCTGGCAACACTGGCCCTACATATAAGAGCACACTGAACCAGTCACCTGATGGAAGAGAAAAAAAGGCATTCAGTATTTTCCTGAAGGCTGAAATCAGTCAAGCCATCTGCTCCACCCAAAATGTTCAACAATACTAGTCTTGGAGCCTCAAAATAAATTCCTCCATAGTTTGGAAAACTGGTGGGAGATGAGAACTCTGAGCATGAAAGGCTGTTATTGTCACGGAAGTACATTTCACCAAGATCTGAGAAGAGTTACATTGTGAAATAATCCTGGTGACAACCCAGAAATACCTACCATATTTATTAAATTATTTAATTCTACTCTCTGAAAAGCGATAACAATAGAATATACTCTTCTCTTTGTTCTCAGGAATGACAATCAAGGAACTGAAGTATGTAGAGAGGGACTGAGGTCTGTATTTCTTAATCAGTAGTGTTCTCTTGATAAAGGGATATCATTTTGGTGTGACATCTTTCGTATCTTCTCCACAGACTTAAATTATGAAGGCAATTCCACATCCTGATGTCAGGAGAGACATGTTCCACAAATGTGAACATGTAAGGGCTACTCTCTATAAGGACAAAACCATGCCTTTTTCTCTACTTTGAATCAAATCCAGTTTGGCCTTTATAAATTTCTTTTATACAAGTTTCCTAAACAAATGAATCTAGAAACAGCAGTTGCATAGATCTTCCTCCTGTAAGACTGATAGTATTCACAGACAATTAATTTTGAAATTCAGCTGGCTTCATCTTAAATTTTGTAGGGATTGAAAGAAATGTCCATACCTTTAATTCATATGAAAGCAATAGTTTAAATTTGACCTGCATATGTACTATACATTAAATTCTGTGGGATAAATTATTTTAAATTTTTTCACTAATCTGAATCACAAGGTTTTAAGCAAAGGAGTTATCTGGGGATCCGCTTTTCAGAATATAACCTTTGTTCATCCCATGTCCAAACCTTCCACAGTACAGCATAATAATGCACTGATACAGCCGCACATTATGCTTCTTTTAAAAAGAACAAGCTATTTGCATGGCAATAAATGCAAATTACAAGTTTTACTAACAAAAATATTTTAAAAGATTCTATGTTTTTTCCAGAATTAGAGACTCAAATTTTGTAAAACATATATGATTGAGAGCAAATAACCTGATTACAGCTACATTCATATACAATAAGAGGGGCAGCTCTGAGTATAATCAACATGGTTGTATTGTGCACTTGAATTCAAGCATCTTTCAGTCTTTTGTTGAAAAGAATTGCTGCTGATCTAGTAGCAATATTCTTCAGCTGATAGACTTGAACTTTTTTGGGCTCGCTAGAAAACAAAAAACCTCTACCAACTATTTAGGGTTTTAAATTTGCTTTACACTACAGGAAATGAGTTTATATAAATCAGCTGATGTGTAGACACATAATGAGACATTTTTCCCCTGGCAGTTCACTGGTCACTTGTCCAGTCACAAGTAGCTAATAATTCAGAAATAATTTAAAAATTAATTAAGTTTAAGGAAATAATGGTGTAAAGGCTTTTCAGAGTGTCTTTGTATGCCTGAGTGTGAAATATTTTGAGAGGCCTAACTTAGAAGGCAGCATTGGAAACTGCTGCCACAGTAACCAACAAGATTCATGGTAGGCACCCGAAATCATCAATAATGAAAAGTTCTGGCTAATGTGATAAACCCAATATTGATATTTCCACAGTGCCCACTGTCTACAGGCATCCCGACTGCCACCTGAGTCACCCCCTCAAGTCTCACATGCTGAGCATAACTCACACTCAGCTCCTGCCTTACTTTCTCCCAGGAGTACAGTCCATGTGACTCATGTCTCCAAGCAGTACAGCACAGCAGTTTCCTTCCTGCTCTGTTCTTCTGTGCACTAAATCAGTTTAATTGACCTGACCTGTGATTTGCTGAGCAGATGATTCTGAAATCAGGGGTGGAAGAAAACGCAGAACTGTGCTTCATCCAGAGCCTGCAGGCCATGTGAGATTCTGCACTCAGAGGTGCAGCCATATGCCAGGAGCCCTCTCCTAATCTTAATCATACCTCAGGTGTATAAATTTACCCCATATTTGAGTACACAGAATTGCATACACTGGGAGAAATGAAGGTCCTAGAATATATGAGCCGCATCCACAGAATTTCAATAATTATGGCACTATAAGCAGTGAAATCCCTGAAGTCCAGTTCTGTATTCATGGTGAATATGCTGCTTGGATATTTCTGTTCATTTATATGTTGCTAGTTTGATTTCTTTTTGTGCATATCAAAGTGGAATGGAGATACTTGGATACTGGAATATCAGTGTTGTCACTCCATTCCCTGAAATGGCAGGAAGATCACATTGCTCCAGGGAGGTGCTTGCAACATACCCAGGGATTGTCAGGTTACATTTATCTGAGTACAGGTAGATGATGGGATGACAGCTAGGACACCACTCCTCAGAATGGATTTTGTCTTCTGACAACTCTGTGAAATATCTAAACAGACTGTCTACATTTGAAAGTTGTCTCCAATTAAAGAGTGAATATAGGAAAAAATTGCTGTTCTTGAACAACTGCAAGTAGGGCCACTTTTATTCAAAAATAAGAGCAGTGTGTTCATTCAAAGTGGGCTAAACTACACCAGAAGGACACATACCTGTCCTGGGAAGAGCATCAGCACACCGTATTTATACTCAGGGATAAAATGTCGTAAACCAGTTACAGAATAATTTAACTGAAGGTAAGCATTAAATTATAATGTTCTGTAAGATAAACAAATACTGCATTTCCAAAATACAAATGCAGTAACTTAAATCTTTGAATTAAGCCTTTTTATTTCTTCCTGTATCATTGTTTGACACACTGTGATCACAGGGTCTCTGTGAAGAACACATCCTGGCCTCAGTAAGCTGTGGTCCAACCCAAAGAGATGCACTGTAGTGCTATTTGCACCTTGACTGCCCTGCATGGTTGTTAAATGCCAGGAGAGTGCATTGTGAGTTGTACATTTGTGGACCCAGGTCTGGAAGGCACAGCTCACACAGTCCATCCAGGGTGACAGCAAGCCATAACACACAGTAATGTGGGTTTATCTCCTCTGAGCTTCCAGTGTGCTGAACCCCACCCAAAACTTAAAACTTAGTCCTAGTCATATTGATAGTGGAGCTAGAGAGCTGGAACTAGATCCTAAATAGAGCATAGACTGAGGCCACTAGGATCATATTCCTGCCGGCTCAAGTTAAGAGCAGATTGGAATCCTCTAACTCGCTGGTCTAGATC